GCTGGGAACTGCGCTGCCCGTGGAGGCTTTGTTGGGGGGCAGTACTGAGGTCTGCTGGGACCCATGCGTCCGGCGGAGGCCTCAGCTGAGGCAGGGCTCAGGTCCAGGACCCACGTGGGCAGAGGGAGCCCTGGGGGAGACAGGGCTCAGGCCTGGGACCCACGCAGCTGGAAGAGGCCTTGGCGGGGCAGAGGGGGGTGGGCAGCTCAGGCCCGGGACCCCAGCAGGCTTGCCAGTGCCCAAGCAGGTGGAGGAGACGTCGGCTGCGTTCCCTTCTGATTCCCCGATCCCCCGAAGGTCCCTCTTCTTCCCTGCTGATCCCCTTGCTGTTAGTGGGCCCCTCCAAGTGTGGGAACCTCTCCCCTCCCCCAGCCCCCTCTTAGGTGTGCTGATCCCATCCTGCCTCCACTTTTCCTCCCCCCGCTCCTTCCCACGTCTTACCTCATCACGTGGGGATTCCTCGCATCCCCTTAGGTGTCCGAGGTCTCCCACCAGCGCCTAGTAGGTGCCCTAGTTATGAGGAGATGCTAACTCCACATCCTCCTACTCCGCCATCTTGACTCTGCCCCATCTTTTGGTTTTTCAGTAATACATTTGATAAACTAATCTGCTGAGAGTGAGGACAGAGGGGTGGCATAGGGGTCTTGAGAAAAATGCTAACTGTTTAGAACTGAGGACTGCAAGAAAGCCCTAACCAGAGACAAAAAGATCTCTGAGCAGTTCAGGGAGTGCATCTTTTTGTGCTCCCTTTGATTTAAACGTGAAACAAAACATTCCTCAGCTTTGCATTTGTTTTCCAGCCCCAAGGGCATTTTGATATCAAAACTCGTAAATGGTTACTTGATTAGACCACTGCCTTTGCTTTCTCTAGCAAGAATCCTTCCCAAGTATTTCCTCCTCAACTTCTCTCTTTGAGTAAGTCTGAGTCAGTTTGACAACTGTCACCACCTTTTTTTTTTCTGTTAGCAGCTCCCAACTCCTCTTTTTGAGGGAAAAATTATAATCCTCCACACACTTCCTCCTCAGCCCTCTACCACACTGTTTCTACCCTCTCCAACCCAAAGCCCTTCTTTCACAATACCAATGAGTTATATTAGTATCTGCTAAGAGCTGAACATATTTCCTTCTTTATATTCTAATTTTAACTACATATAATGTGGGATGCTGTGTTAATTTCTATTTAACTTTTCTACTAATGTTCTCATTCATTCATTCAAAAATTTTTCTAGTGCCCAGTATGTGCCAGTCATGGAACTAGACAACCAGGGATAGAAAGAATAAGATCTGACACCTGAAAGTCATATCATGCTGTAAACTCCCTTTTCATCTATATTTAAGGGTGGTCTCACTCAGAATACACTGTGTGAACATTTTTAGAATGAAGAATTAACATTTTTTCCTATTTTTACCATGGAGAAAAATGTTGCTGTTTTATTTTCACAGTTTTAAAACTTTTTCTTCCTTTAGGAAATTGAAATAAGGTAAAGGGATGAAGTATTTCTTGATTTTATTGACTTCATGTGTAAAATGAGATACACCTACACAGGCACATTTGTTTCATATTTAAATGAGGAACTGCTGCTTCCTCATTAAGAAACAGTAGTGTGTGCTCATGATGCTTGAAATAGAAAACCAGAGGATGACAATAAACTTTCATCATCATGTTTCTCCTCCCTCACAAGTTTACTTCTTTTTATGATCCTAGAGAAGGAGAGAACACATAGCGTTTGATGATTTGTGTTCTTCCATGTGTTATTGAATTCATTCCTTCAATATCTCCTTTTATTTTTTGAAAATATTTTCTGAATAAACTTTATCACACACAGGGAATGAAACTGGGCTTCTCTTTTAATCCAATAATCAGATGTACTAAGAGGTGCAGCATTATCTATCTTAGAAATATGAATCTTCAGTAAGTATAAGATTGACTTGTGGGAATTCCCTGGTGGCCCAGTGGTTAGGACTCTGCCCTTTCACTTTTGAGGGCCTGGGTTTGATCACTGGTCAGGGAACTAAGATCTTGGAAGCCTTGCAGCACAGCCAAAAAAAAAAAAGAAACTGAAATCAAGATTGACTTGGAAGTTTCTAGAAATATTCAATGCAATTTTAATATTCATTTGATGCAGAAGAGAAATGATCAACAGGAAATATTTTAATATGACTGTTGCCAACATAGTTACTGTCATCTGAAGACATCCTCACCATTTTAACCCAATAAAGCAAAAACCAAACCAAAACCCAATGATAATAAAACATATTTCATGCTTATGTTCATGATAATACAAATGGAGCTTATTTTTAAATCTTATTTTTAAAGTTACAAATAACTTTTAATTAATTAGTCAATCAATTAAAGGCCTATTTTATGGCAGGCCTCTACCAAGTGCTGAGAATGGAGAGGTGATGGTAGTTTAGTGGGAGTGACTGACATGCTTATCAACAACTGCATTAGTATTGTTAGTGCCATGTGAGGTATGTATTCTGTGGTGTGAATACACAGAGGAGAGTGCATCTCTCTCATGAGTGGATCCAAGAAGCTACCAGTGGATCTCAGAATGCTTTAACTGAGTTTGGGGGTACCAGTAAGCATTAGCCAGACAGATGGAGAGGGAAAAAGCATTTCAGGTAGACAGAGTGGTTATAACATGTGAAAGCATGAAAGCATTGAATGTCATAGGGTGTACAGAGAATTCCTGGTGGATTTAATTTTACTTTTGCATTTGTTCTTTTAACTTGTTATTGATTTTAGTGAGGCCAGAATACAGAGCGTGTATGAAGAAGTGGAAGGAGATGGAAGCAGAGCAAATCTTTAGGGTCAGAAACTAAATGACATGTATACCAAGGATATTCAGTGTTATCCTGAAGGCTTCCAGGGATCTCTTAAAGAACTTAAAATGGGAGAAATGCATGGTAAGATTTGTGCTGTAGAAAGGACTCTGGCAGCAATGTGCAGAGTTGTTTGGAGAGTATGTGGTCAGAGAGCAGAGGCAATGGTTTTTAGGAGCTACTGTCTAACTCAGGTGAAAGATGATATATTGTCTAACATATTAGGGATGGAGAGGGGAGATTAAATTTGAGGGTATTTAGTGATAAGTTATAGTCTGTAAGTCCTGGAAGGGATTGGATATGTGTGTGGGGGGTGGAGGTAATAGTGAAGGAGGATGGTGAATCTCAAGTTTCTGATTCGGATAGCTGGAAATATCATGGGGCCATTCACTAAGACCAAGAATACATTAAATATGCAGAGTTGGAGATGGGGGGAGAAGGTGATGATAAGATTGATTTTGAACATGTTAAGAGTAGAACATCTGAGTAAGAGGTGGCCAATGGCCAATTAGATACATAGGTCTAGTGCTTAGAAGAAAAATCAAGTTGGTGGTGTAGATTGCATGATGGTCTTTTGCATTGATGTTGAATTCTTAGAGAGTTGGTGGCACATCTGGTGCTTCTTTGTTTCTCCAGCACATTGCACAGGGCAAGCCTTAGGGTTGCATACAATTCCCAAAACCTAACATTTTCTGTTCTGGTCACTAGGATGAGGCCCATTAATGAAAAAGAATAAAAGATCTTCTATTAACCAATGCCAGTTTACTTTTTTCCCCAATCCAATTGTTGATACCATAGAAAGAGCTAAATTGGTGGGGCAGTACAAAGCCTAATTGAAGTCAAAGTTAGATTGAAGAATAGCAGTAAAGTATGATGTCACCTACCTGGTATGGTTTGAAAGACATTTGGTTGGTGCCTGCCCAGGATTTCTTCTTTCATTTTCTGTCACATTGTCTTGAAAGTTCATCATTACCATTAGAGTCATTGCTTTGGACCATCAGGGGTTTTCATTTTTAAGGAGTTGTTTGGTAAATACCCTAGTTAAAGGTAATACCATGGAAACTATCAAATGGTCTTAATGGAGTCCATAATAGATTAGAGCTTTTTGGGATACCTAGAGAAAGGATAATTGAGATACGAGCAGAGTATGGCTTGTTTTGTTCTACTTGTTCAAGTCTCATTGACATTTCCTTGAAGTTAATTAGCTTAATAATGAAAAATTAATGATTTTAATATTGGAAATAATGGAAGAAATTTCTTTCCTATTAAATTCACATTCCTTCCCCTCAGAAGTTAAGGTTACTACTCTTTTGGAAAACATTATTAAGGATTCTAGATATTCCAAAAATAGTCTTTAAATATCAATGAAATTGTTAATAAGAGAGAACCTTTGCTATGTTACAAAGAAGATGGAGGTGTGTGATAAGAACCATAGTATGTGAGATTTGTTGAAATTGGGCTTTATTCTCTTATGTGTATATATCTTCACATAAGTATACGATAGGACTGTTTTTATTAGGGTAATACTACCTGCTATAGTAAATAACCCCCCAACTTTAAGTGGTTTAACACAATAGAAGCATATTTCTTACTCATGTGACAATCCAAGGAAGTTGATCTTTGACATATGGCATTCTTCTATGCACTGATTCAGTGGCTTTGCCGTCCCCTGGGATTTTGTCACTTGCATCCAACTGGTAGAAGGATGGAGAAAGTATGGAGAAGTTTCACTTGCTTCTTAAGTTATTGCATGCATGGAAGTGACACACATCAGTTCTGTCTCAATCCATTGGTGAGGACTAGGGACAGGCCCACACCTAGATGCAACAAATGCTGGGAAATGTATTCCTGGCTGGGCAGCTGTTTCCCAGTAACAAACCTATACAATGCAAGGGGGAGGACAGAATCTTGTGGACAGCTAGCTACCTGGCTATAGGGACTATATGATAGATATGAGCAAAACACAAAGATCACACATGAAAATTACTTACTATTTTATAACTGCACTTGAACTATATGATGATGTCTGTGTAGAAATGAAGTGCTTTAGATTGATACTTTTCATTAGTTCCGCATGTTATGCTATTTCTGAGATCCCTTGAATATGAGCAAGAATGTAGGCTTCCATATTCATGACGTGTGAAAAACTGAGACTTTCTTTCCTTATTTTTAAGGTTGGACAAAATTTGCCCGATTGACACGGGCTTTGACAAATAGCCGAAGTGTTTTGCAACAGCTCACGCCAATGAATAAAACAGAGGTGGTCCACAAACATTCAAGACTAGCTGAAGTAAGTGCGAGATTAACTTTACTTCCCAACATGGTGGTGGTCATACATTTTTCCCCCCACAAGTGTTTCAGTTATTTGAAACATTTATTATTATAAATGGCTATTTTACAAACACTTATACGCTAATTTATTTTTCCTTGTAGAATTATAGAAATTTTCTATATTTCCTTTTATGCTCTCCTACTTTGGAAATGGGAAGGTAATTTATGACATCCCGGGTGATGTCTGTACAGAATGAGGTTTTCTTTGAGCAAATGAGATAGGGAGTTCACTCATTTGTTAATTTATGTGTGCAGCACACACTTATGGAGGGTTTGCTCCATGCTTGGTACTCTGCAAAGGATGTAAAGATGAATAGGCCATTGGCCCTATCATCAAGGAGTTAAAGATCCAGCAGAGGAGGGAGGGGTTACCTGAATGAGATGATACCTGGGCTGAGTGAATCTTTTTTTTTTTAATTGAAGTATAGTTGATTTACAATGTTGTGTTAGTTCCCAGTGTACAGTGAAGTGATTTAGTTATATATATATATATATATAAATAAATAAATATATATATATATATATATATATATATTAGATGTACTCTTTTTCATATTCTTTCAGTTATAGGTTATTATAAGATATTGAATATACAGTAGGACCTGTTGTTTATCTATTTCATATATAGTGGTGTCTGCTAATCCCAAATTCCTAATTTATCACTTCCCCACCTTTCCCTTTTGGTAACCATAAGTTTGTTTTCTATATCTGTGAGTCTGTTTCTGTTTTGTAAATAAGTTCATTTGTATCATATTTTAGATTCTACATGTAAGTGATATCATATGATATTTGTCTGTGTCAGACTTGCTTCGCTTAATATGACAATCTCTAGGTTCATCCATGTCGCTGCAAATGACATTATTTCATTCTTTTTTATGGCTAATATTCCATTGTATATATATACCACATCTTCTTTATCCATTCATTTGTCAATGGACATTTAGGTTGTTTCCATGTCTTGGCTGTTGTAAATAGTGCTGTTATGAACATTGGGGTGCATGTATCTTCTTTTTTTAATAAAGTTATTTTATTTATTTATTTTTGGCTGCATTGGGTCTTCATTGCTGCGCATGGGCTTTCTCTAGTTGCGGCGAGCTGGGGCTTCTCTTCGTTGTGGTGTGTGGGCTTCTCATTGCGGTGGCTTCTCTTGTTGCAGAGCATGGACTCCAGGTGCGCAGGCTTCAGTAGTTGTGGCTCAGGGGCTTAGTTGCTCTGCAGGCATGTGACATCTTCCTGGATCAGGGCTTGAACCCGTGTCCCCTGCATTGGCAGGCGGATTCTTAACCACTGCGCCACCAGGGAAGCCCTGTACTACTTGATTTTGAAGCTACTTTCTTTTCTGCCTTTGGTTGTCCGTTTCTTTCTACAAATCAAGCTAAAGTGTAGGAGCTTGTTTCTGTGACTGCTGACTTTTGCAGTTATGATTCTTACTGGGTCTTAACTCATTCAGTTTTTCTCTCTTTGTTAACACAGTTGGGCAAGAACAAGAGGAAAGAGACCATAGAGAGGAAATTTTTCTACCTTAGCACCCTGAATCACTCAGGATAGTTTTTTTTTCTATATCAAATGGAAAGTTCCTTTCCGCTTGACAGCTTATCATTTTTACTTTTACTTTTGAGGAACTTTCATTCCTGTTTCTTCCCATCTGATTTTTTTGTTTTTTTTTGCTTTGCCTTTTGATTATTGTTAGTTTCTTTATCAGTCATCCCTAATTCACAAACCTGATTCAAATACCAAACTGTCTTCTGTCAGGTCTTAGGCTTGATTTCAGAGAACATGTGGAAATAAGAAGGTTTTCAACAGAGATTTAGTCTGTGCTCTTAGATCTTCAAAGACTGACCTAAAAGAAGCACCAAGTTAGCAGAAAGATATAGTTTTGCCAGTTGTACTCAGAGTCATATAATTTGCTCAGCTTGAGTATTTGGATTTGCTGTTAAATTTCAGGCTCTTTCACTTTTTCCAACACATATAAATTTTATCTTAATTCCACCAGGCCCCCTAAATTTGGAGCTGATCCCCACTTTCAAAGATCCTGGTCTCCATGTAGGCAGTTCATCTGTTTTCCACAGGTCCTGACATCGTGCTGATTGGCTTCAGCTTCTCACTTGTATCCGTGGTACTGAGTCCTTCAGTGAGCTCAGATATTCAGAGAGAAAGCGTATATCTGTTTCAGTACAAAAATACATCAGTAAATGTGATTTCATCCCCCCTCTACCTAAGGCTTATTGCTCCTGAAAGTACAAATGAAATAACAAAGCGAAGAGTTGTTACTCACTGCCTTATAAAGGAGTCCTAGTGATGGGGCTGAGATTAAAGTCGTGCTCTGCATATGAGAAAGCTCAAAGCTGCAGCACATAGTGAGTCCCTTTCTTTGCTGTTGTTGCCATTCTTCTCCTCGCCTCCCTGCTCATTCTCCTCCTTCTCTTGTAGCAGTTTTGGATTGCTTTACGAATGCAAGTCACCTTCCGAAGAACTGGGTTATGAATGTCTAAAGAAATATAAGACAAGGGTTTTTATTTTGAACTGTACATTATAATCACCTGGAAAGATTTTGAAAATATAGATTCTCTGGGAACCCACACAAGATGAATTTAATTATTTTCTGGCATGGGGTCTGAGTATGAGTATACTTTATTTTTTAAAACTTCTCCAGAAGATTCTAGTTTGTGGCCAGATTTAAGAAATACTGAACTCAAGAGTGCTTTCATTCCATCTCTAGAGGAGACATCTTACATTTGTCCAGGGTATTGAGCGGGGCCGACTTGTCTATTAACACAGTGTGTAGGGCCCACATGATGTTTGAATTTCTACTAATAGTAGAAGGAAAAAATGAACTTTTAGGTAAAAGAATTTTGAATATATAATATTAATTCATCTTTGTAAAAAGACAGTTGTAAAATATAATTTTTATTATTTTTAAGGAGGAAGGGGTCTAAGAAGGCAAAAATACCCAGGACCCATGAAGGTCCTAATGTACCCTGGCACTGAGTTTATTTTCTAAGTACGATTTGTTTGTGCTCAAACTGTAGACTGTGGTAAAATATTAACATTGAATATGAAGGAAATTTTCATGTTTAACACAGTGAAATTAGAATGAATAGATCAGTGGTTGAAAAGTGAAAGAGAGGCCATGGTTCTGTATGATTCTGTGTATGTAATGCTTTGTCTCAACATGAAGCTTACCTGCCTGTAGGATAATTTGTTGCTAAGTAATTTAAGACCTTATGGGAAAAGTATGACTGGGCACTGATAATGAGGATAAATATGTAAAAATCTTTATAAATAGTTCTTATAACTCCCAAACTTAAAGCAATAATTATAATATACACCTAAAGAGAATATCAATGATGTTTTTCACATTTTAAAATAGCAATGATTATATTATATGCTTAGTTTTCAGTTATGTAAGTTCTATTTATGAGAGACTTTTCAGGATAAATCTCAAGTTTCAAAACATGCTAGTATACTTATTTTGCTTTGTAGCGTAAGAATTACATGCTAACAGGTGTTTTTGTTTACATCTATTTGCACATTCACAAATTTAGTGCATTTATGATTTTATAATTTGAACTTGTTGACTCCTACTTTCTGGGTCCCATTAGTCCTAGGGACACTAAATACTTGGATGCATAAGATGGTAGAGCTGCTGAAAACATTGTTTATCAAAGTCCCACTTACAGACTCCTTAATACATAGGTTTACTCAGCTTTAGCTTCATTGATGGCATGGAGCAGAGGTCTCTGACCTGCTGCTTCAGCTCCTTTTCACAATTTCCAGGTTCTAGGTTCTGGAAGGAAGTGCTAGGTCCTGTGTTTGTTACCTTTGCCCAGACCTCTGCTTTTGCTCTGTCATCTGCTTTTTCTCATTGTCTCTTTAATGAGACCTAATCAGAGTAAGTCAAGGTTCATATAACATTACATTGAAATTTTTCCATTTGTCGAAAAGGTACGGAGAAGCAAACCTGAATATTTAGGTTTTTTTTTTTTTTTCCCTAAAGGGAATTTGCCTCTGGGCAGGAAATCCAATATTCTTTAAGTCCTGATTGAAAGGAAAAAAGGGAAAAGCAGGTTATAACATTTACACCCCTGATATTGCTGTGCCAGTCATTAGGGCCCTGGCTGAGTCCCACACAACAGCAAGATCACCATCAGTGGGGCCCTGGGGTTCAGCAAGGCCGTCAGAATCAAAGTTATGCTCCTTGAGGTGCCAAATATGTGAAGAATGGATAAGGGTGAGTCATGCAAATAACAGTTGGGCAGTCAGTGAGAGATGCGTGATTCTAGGCAAGCCTGCCAAGTGAGTGTGCAGAACTTGCAGAAGTTGGTGTCCAGCAGTGCTGTGGATCAGTGTTGGTGCTGGGGGAGGTCATCGAGAGCATGGGACTGCGGGTTGACCCTTCAGCTGGACCCAGGCAGTTGGAGGCTCCTTACCCCTACCCTTGTCCTTGGAATGTATACTCTGCTTACCATTCCCCCAATGGGGGCCATTTTCAAGGATGCAGGCTTGAGAGAGTAAGGTGTTGTTGAGACCTTCAGGTGTTGTTGTGACCTTCAGTCACACCTCTATATGTGACTGAACCCAGTTAAGGCTTCTGTATAAACTTTTAATATTTGGCGGGTGGGTTCAGAGATCTACTGGTCTTGTGGCTGCCCAGTAAAGTCTTGTAAGGGGCTTCCCTGGTGGCACAGTGGTTGAGAGTTCACCTGCCGATGCAGGGGACACGGGTTCGTGCTCCGGTCTGGGAAGATCCCACATGCCGCGGAGCGGCTGGGCCCGTGAGCCATGGCCGCTGAGCCTGCATGTCCGGAGCCTGTGCTCTGCAATGGGAGAGGCCACAACAGTGAGAGGCCTGCATACCGCAAAAAAAAAAAAAAAAAAAAAAAAAGCCTTGTAAGTAAGTTCCCTTGTATATTAAAACTGCCACCTACCAATCTGGAGTGGTCTGCCTCTTTCTTTGGTCTCTCCCTGCCCTCCATGTATGGGGACCAGTTTTTGAAACAACAGTTGGCCACTGGAGAGAAAGCCAGAGGGAATAGCAGACAGATCAACTTTGGTAGAGAGATTGGACATGGAGTGACTTTGAACAAACCTTGATACAACTTAGGAGAAGAGGGAGATGAAACTACAGAGCCTGACTGGCCTTGAAACCAGGAGTCATGACTAATAGGCTGTGGGTTTGGCTGCCAGTAAATTTGAATTCATTACTAACTGTGCAGAGATGTCCGGGTCATTATATATACATTTTCTCTCTTTTAGGTTCTTCAGCTGGGATCAGATATCCTTCCTCAGTACAAGCAAGAAGCGCCAAAGACGCCACCACACATTATTTTACACTATTGTGCTTTTAAAACAACGTGGGATTGGGTGATTTTAATTCTTACCTTCTACACCGCCATTATGGTTCCTTATAACGTTTCCTTCAAAACGAAGCAGAACAACATAGCCTGGCTGGTGCTGGACAGTGTGGTGGATGTTATTTTTCTGGTTGACATTGTTTTAAATTTTCATACGACCTTTGTGGGACCTGGTGGAGAGGTCATTTCTGACCCCAAGTTGATCAGGATGAACTATCTGAAAACGTGGTTTGTGATCGATCTGTTGTCTTGTTTACCTTATGACATCATCAATGCCTTTGAAAATGTTGATGAGGTAAGTTTCTTTTTCTTTTTAGTACTTGAATCACATGTTTCGAGAAAATTAGGATAAAAGGAGTTTACAGATAATCCAAACTTCTTTTGAGCCACCACTTTCAATCTTCATCCTCCTAAACACTTGCCGTAAATTGTCATATTTGATTACCTTATAATTTTCATCTGCTTTTTTTTCTTGATTTCTGGTTGAAAATACTGATTGCTAGAAAAATGGCTATGGTTGGAGGTTGTGGTTGAAAGAGGTGGAGGAGAAGAAAAGCCACAGCATTTGGAGTCAGATATGGTTTATGAACTAGATAATTGATTGACAGGTGATGTGTTTTGATGTGTGTTTTGGTTTTATTTTTTTGAAAACTGTGGCATTTTAAAACTCTGTGCACCCATAGGTCTTTTGACTCCTCCTCCTCCAAATAGCAGTGCTTGAGTTAACAAAAAGATACAGAAAATTTTATGGAAGAAAAATTCTTGAATTTTTGCCTTTTTGGTTTCTTTTTTATAGTTTTTGCTTTCAATTTTGTCTAAGTACATTTGTGATTAGAGACTATGATGGATGACTTCTGATGTCTGGTCACATTCAAGATTCTGCTTATTCAATGTTATCTGCACAATGAGAAACACTTAAAACGTGTAATATCTTGGAAGACCATTTTATTCAGAGCTTCTTAGCTTCTAACCTAGTAGTGGATGATTTTCAACTTGCTACACGAAGGATGTATATAAATGAGTCAATATAGAATGTATCTATTATTAAAATATGTTCATAATAATAATTACAAACTTAATTTCCCTGAAGATTTTACTCTGTCCTCATAGACTGTTCAGATGGAAAATTCTGCACTGCATTGTTGTCATTGTGTGTGTATTTGGGAGGTAGTTTGCAACTTTTCTTCAGTAACTTTTTCCATAAAATTTCTGCATTCAATCCACTTTAATGATATTAAAAATATTTCCCTGAAAGTTAAGTATAGACATTGTATTTTGATGCTGTACACGTAATTGCTACTTTAAAAATTGGGGGAAAAAAAGGAATCGTAGTAATTTGTTTTCTAATTTTAGATTTTACCTACATCAAGCTTTTTAAGGTATATTTATTTCTTCCCTATTTACCTTCTGGAAGGGTTGAGAGGGGTTAATTTTGAAAATGCTAATCATATGATAAGAAGATAATAAATAGTATTTATATGTTCACTTACTAAATGGATTAATATATTAAGATCAATGCATTAAGATTTCCATTATTTAGAACATAGGCATAAGGATTTTAATAAAAATAATTAAAAGATTGGTTTAATTCATAGAAAAGTGAATACATTAAACATTACATAATAATAAATGCATTTAATATACCATACAAATACATGAAGAGATCCTCAGACTTACTAATATTAAGGAAAATGCAAAGTAAACCTACAAACTACACTGACATACCATCACTTACCACACGCACTAGATTGGTGAGAAGGTGGCTAAGGATGTACACTGCTCAGATCTCCTTTCATGAAAACCTGCTGCATGGAGCACAGTTAGGGGATTCCTGGAAGTGGCTCCTGGTTTGGGAAAGCCAATCATTCATTGGCATTCAGTGATATCACATTATCACACTGGTAGCTTGAAACTGGCCACAATGGGAGTATTTACACCCAGAAAGTCACAAATGCTATGAATAAAAACTTTTCTTTAACTTTCTGTGGAATTAGTTGTTAGTCATTTACCAACACACCACTGAACACAGTTGACTGACACCTGCTATGGTTTTCTGATCTGCTGCAGGTCACACATCGAAGCCATATTTCCCCAACATTGTGTCCAGCTAGTGACTAAGAATGGTGGTAACATTATGATTAGTTTACTCCTGCTCAATAAAGAGCTCCTCTATTGAGCAACTTTTGCTCTGGGACTCCCCATTTACCTGTGCTGTGGTTGAGGCTCTTTCTACACAATTCTTCCTCCCCTCTTCACAGGTTTCAAATGGCATTGTGGTCTGAAGGCTCCTCCCTCCTCCCTTTCTCCTTCATAGGCATTTATCTCAGTAAAGATCTTGCATATCTAACCCTGACTTGGCATTACTCTGTCGGGGACCTGAACTGATGAAGCGATGGGGTGAGGCCTCTCATACATTGCTCAAGGGAATGTTGGTAAAACTTCCATGAAGAATAATTGGCAATATCTCATTTTAAAAAAGAAAAGACACTAGGGGCAACCACTAGGGGCAATCCCCTTGTTTAAGGGATTCTTTTTTATTTGCTTCCATCACCAAACAGCAAGATTATGTACCTACCTCTTGGTTTTTCAGTTTTAGGACTTGTCTTTGACTTCTTACTATGGAATTTGAAGTTTTAGCCTCTTTATCCCTGCCCTAACTGTATATATGCACTTATTTCCCTCACCTCATTCTCACAATATAGGTATACCATCCTCTTGGTTCCATAAATAGTAGGTATTTATATCATTACTACTACAAATATGCTATTTATAGCTGAACCTTCAACATGCTGTGATTACTTTTCCTTTTCTGCACTTTCCATTTTCCTGAGAGTTGGTTTTATCATTTGCTTAGTTTTATGTACTAATCACTAACTCAATCGCTAAGCTCTATGCCAGTTGTCTAAATCTCCCTCCAGTACATTGATACAGTAATAGTCTATCAACATCGTTTTCTTAAACACATCTCTCTACACTTTGCCCTCCCACCTGATGGACAGTTTGGCTAGCTGTAATATCCTAGGCCAGAGATAATTTCTCCTCAGATTTTGAAAGACACAGTGCCATTACAGTCTACCTTCTAATAATTCTCTTAAGAAACTTTAAACCATTGTGACCTGTTTTCTCTTTCTGGAAATTTGATGTATCTTCTCTGTCCAGGGTTCTGAATCTTTCCAGTAATATGCTTTAGTGTAAGTCCCATTTTCATCAGTTTTGCTGGGTACTGACTGGGTAGCCTTTTTCAATCTAGAAAAGCAAGGCTTCTGTTTTGATTTTTTTCTTATGATGATTTTCTCCATCCCTTTCCCCCCTCTTTTCCATTCTCTCTCTTGCTGGAATTCCTTTTGTTCTTATACCTACTAGACTTCTCCTCTGATTCCTTTTTTTTCTTCCCTATTTTCCAATCCTTTGTATTTTTGCTGTACTTTCTGGAAGATTTTCTCAACATTATTTTCCACCTTTTCTTGTAACTAATAATGCTTTTTTTTTTTGCTTAAAGTCTTTTTGGCTTAATACTAATAGAGCTAAACTAGCATTTGTATACTATTTGATATATGTATTTCTATTATTTAACTTTTTATCATTCTAGATTATTATACTCTAGTTGTGTCTTTTATAAATAGTCTATACATTCTAAGAGTCTTTCTAACTGGGAAGTTTAGTCTATTTACACTTATTGTGATTAATTACCTTTTGATTTTCTTAGAGCATCTTATTTTCCATTGTAAAATGCTTTTTCTTCACTTTTCTCTGTTTTTATTTTTGCTTGTTCTCTGCTGTCTTTTGGATTGATTGAATTTTTTAAATCTCCTGGATTTCCTCTACAGGATTAGAAGTTTTTCTGTTAATTGATTACTCTTAATATTTTTAGCATCAGTATTTGACTTATGAGTATCTTTGCCCTTCTAAATAAATCAAGGGCTTCTGTTTACCTTCTCATCTTTCAAACTAGTATTGTCTTATATTTTGGCTCCACATTATTTTTAACTTTCTCTTTCAATTATTGGAGGCCTTCTTTAGGGCATGTTTGTTGTGAGTCTTTGAGATGGTGATTCTGGGTCTCAGTTTCCATATCTGTAAAAAAAAGGGAAGGAATGCTTGACTTTTTTACTTCACACAATGGTTTTAAGGAATAGATGGGAAAACAGATATGAATGACTTTTGTTTGTAGAATTGTGCATGTTCGAGGGGATATTATTATTTCATTTGTGTATGTCTGTTTCCTCAGCTTGGTGATAAGCCCTGTGATATTGAGGGATGTGTTCCATCTCCTTGGTAGTCCTTTGTTGCTCTTGGTACATATTGGTGACTCACTGACCCGAAGCAATAAAGTGTTAGCAAGGTTTTAGTAGACTGTACAATGACATAAAACAAAATAGAACTTAAAAATGAGAAATTGAGCTAGTGGTGGCTTGGGAATAGGAGAGTATGAGTCTGAAGATCACAATTTAATCCTTTGACATGCTATGAGTGCAGAATGACTTAGAGGACTTAATAACACTTTTTGTATTCAAGATTGTCTCAGTCAACATGCTCTCTTAAGGCAACTTGATTTACTAGGATTTCACGAACTGGGTATGACATTCTTTAAGAGAACTGTGAGGATGGGAAGACAGAATCCATTAAAGGAAATAATTCTGTTTGAAAAGAAGTACGTAATGTAAATTTCCTAGAAACCATAACAGGGGGTAAAAGATGTTATCACCAAGAATCCAAGGAATAGAAATAAGCTCATTTGTAGCATGCATTTGAATACAGCTCTGGGAGGTTAGGGGGAACTGAATTATAAGACATCAGAGAAAAATGGGGCAGCTGCAGGTAACACACAATTTGGTAGCCTGAGTGGACTTAGGAAACGTGATACATGGGGAATTCAGGGGACAATGAGTGGTATTAGTAAGTGGTAAACATGATAAACTAGGTTAGAACAAATTGAAATTGGAAAAATGATCACTTATGTATTGTTTCAGGAGACAAAATGATTGGGCCAGTGACTGCTAAGTGGAAGTATTATAAATATTTTTAATTTCCAGGGAAGTTTATGGAAAATAATTTTCTAAATTATTACTTTCTTGAATTATGCTTGTCAAGTGGCCACATGCGTTGTTTCATTTTAGCATATCTGTTTACATAGCAAATTTTTATCTCTTGCCTAGTCATCAAAACAAGAATTGGAAATCAAAGAAGCTAATTATACTCAAAGATTTTAGACGCTTTTTGTCCCCTTTTGTGGAATTTCAGACGCTCCACCAAGAATAAAATTTTAGAAATTGCTATTTAATACAACTTGATCAC